TTTTTTTTAAAAAAAGCAACACAATAACAGCAGCTTGACTGACTGTAGCTTCAAATAACCCTAGCCAGAGTTGTGGGATTACCCAAACCTGGAGCTGTTTTCCAATGGATGTCTCTATTTATATTTCCATTCTCATTCATGGAAGGGTTTATAAAACCACATCCAGGGTTTATATAAATTTTAATCCAGCTGAGAGCCAGGTGTGGCTGCAAGGTATGGCTTGCGATGGAATGGTCAAAACTCTACCTGCTCTTGTGCCTGACTTTGATCACATCATCACCTTGACTTTTTAGGACCATACCTTGTGATGCATGAACGTCTGGGAAGAATCTGTGCTGGAATACATAATAATTCACAGCATACTTCTAATAATTGCCTTGTCTCACTTGAAATTTCTACTATCAGATGATCTGGTCATGATCTACAGGGTTTGGGATATATCTTCCAAGTTTGGACCTCTCCTCTTCTGTACTCTGAAGGTTTACAAAATTTAATCCCTGCTTTGGTAGTAGAAGCCATAGCCACCATTGTATTTCCTCTTGTAACAAGGTTTTCAAAGTGGGGGGGGGGGAGGAGAAACCCACTCCCCAATCCAACCTTTCTCTCCCAAGCTTTAAGAAACTTTGCCTCATCTTTTGTTCTGGGGTCCAGTTCTGCTTTTTCAAAAAGCAATTGGACTTTGTTTTTTCCTTGAAGACATTTCTCTTCTCATCCAAGAAGCTTCTTCAGTTCTGACTGAACTGAATTGACTGAACTGAAGAAACTTCTGAGAAGTGAAATGTCTTCAAGGAAAAACAAAGTCCAGTGGCCTTTTGAAAAGGCACTTTTGGGATAACCAAGGCCTGGATGACTGAGAATCTCCATAAACATTTTGTTCTGAGGGTATCAGAAATTACCTGCCTTGCTTGACTGCTGGAGATTAGTTGTCTTCTCCCAGTAAAGAGCTTTTATCTTACAGAGGATGAAGCGAGAAGACAATAACTAAGTGGTAATTATGCATAACCAATGCTAAAGATATGCAGCTGAGGCCCGGAATAAATGAAGCGAACAAGTAGAGGTACGTATTAAGCACATTTAATAAAGACCCTGGAAAAGTGTTTGGAAGAATGACAATGGGAGCGACTTTTGAGTCTCAATTCAAAAGAGGCTGCAATTATTTCTTACTTGAGCAGATCCTCCTCTTGGTAGGGTAAAGACTGACCTTATTTTGAATGCAGACTCTTTAGTTCTGCACCAAAACAAGCTTGATGTATAGGAACTGTAAATGGCCCTGTAACTTCTAATTGCTTAGCATTATTACATTGTTTAAACAGTGGTTATTACTTGTCTGATATTTTAATTTTCTGCACAACATGATGAGAAAGGTCAATTTAGCTTTGTTTTAGAATGTAATTGTAGAAAGCTGTAATTATGGCAGCTGCACAATTCACACTTGCATGGGGGAGGAGGGTTACTACAGTTGGGGGGGGGGGGGGGGAATTAATACAACCCTATCAAAGAGAGCTTGGGTTGATTCTCCCATTACTTTACTGTCCCATGCTAATTGCTTCTGGTTACCATCCCTTTTTGCAGGTTCTTTTTCCCAAGGAAAGCCAACGTGGATGCGTGCACCAGATATACATATACATACTTGCTCTTGAAATAGAATTTAAATGTTTGGCATTGCATCATCTGAAAAACCCAATTGATGTAAAAAATAGGCAGGTTAGGAATTTGCCTCGTAAAGGAAAGGGTAAATACAGGTAATCTTCAAATTACGACAATTGACCCCAAAATTTCTGGCTTTAGTTGCACTATAAATGAACTGAAATTAAGAATATATTTTGAAAAAAATATGATCTGTTGGTTTATGACTGATAAAAAGACTTGCTTTGATAAAACTCTCAATCCAGGGTGGCCCTGGTCCCTGAACCCTTTTCTTTTTAAAAATCTCAACTGATCAGTTCTCTTGCAACTACTTCCTCTGAAACTGGTTCCAAGCACACATACAAATTGTGTTTCTTTTCATAAATTGTAGTATTGCCCTCTTTCATGCCACCAGGTTTGTTTTCACTGCTGTTAACAAGAAAAGGTAATCCAAAATGGTTCCAACCTGCCCACATCTCCTCGTGTGAATTCAGATCTCTATTGTAAAGCAGACTGAGGAGAAAGCAAATAAATTCTGCAGTATATTTTTTTTTTCGGGGTATGGAAATGTGATGGCTCATAGACTTTGCAGCAAGATAAAAGGGGTTCACTTTGGCAGAATTTTAATTGCAGAGATTGAATTCAATCCAATATTTCTACTACTACTATCTTCTTTAATTTAAGCTGTGTACATATACGTGTGTGTATACGTGTGGGTGAGAGAGAGAGAGAGAGAGAGAGAGAGAAAACGAGAGAACCTCTAGTGAGGCTTAGGGTCTTATTCATTATTTTGTATCAATTTAAAACCTACTTTTCATCATTAAAATCGAATCTCAAAGCAGTTTGAGGGAGGGGAGAGAGCTCAACATTGGACCACTGGGACTATTTCTTCCTATGGAAGGCAATTTTCTCTAGGAATAAGGTTAGGGAAATTAAGATATAAATATGATTATGCCTGATACCTTCAGTCCCAAAGAATCTCTAGTCTCTACTCCCATAATTTTTTTTCTTAATAAAAAAAGGAATATCTCTTTTGAGTTGAATTTGACTCTGGTGATTTTCTGGTTACATCCATCTAATTTTCTCAGAATATGGAAATTATTTTCCTTAATATATTTCAGAATATATATTTCACCTTCCTACTCCAGTGTCCTGAGTTTTCCTGCTAGTTTCCCTTCTTGGAAGTAGTAAGGTCTACCTCTGCTTTTAAAGATCAGTAAAGGTTGGGAACTTGGGCAGACCTTATGTTCTTGAGAAGTATTCCTAACTCTTATAATTGATAAAGGCAAAATAAATGTTTTTTTAAGGCTTTATGGCTTAAACCACATTGTTTGATTGACTGATTACGTGCCATCAACTCATTGCTGACTCTTAGCAACCACAAAGATTTTCTCCGTGATTTAAAGCATAGCTCCACTGATGCTGATCTTCTAAAGAGCCATATACTAATCCCTCTTCAAATTTCATGAAGAGTAATAATCTCCTGCTATAAATTAGAGCTTAATTTTCTATTGCGTCTATTGGAGTGTCATCATGTAAGATTATGCTTTCCATGTATGTAGAATTAATCCTTGCCTTTTTCAGTGCTTCTCTTGGTCTTCCACCATAAGCCAGCAGCTCAATTTTTACCCATGAATTACATGCCATTTTTTAGACGAAACTTCCTAAACCTGGCGCCCTCCAAAAATGTCTTGGATATGACTGAGACTATATGAGAGTTTAAATATCTGGTGCTGAGAGAATGCCATCTTAGGCAAATGTGGTTAAGTAGAAATTAAACATAAATAGAAAAATGGAAGAGGCTTGCCTGGAATGAAGTTTAACCAATATCTATGCACCCTAGTGTAAAGAACTAGTAAGAACTTATTTTGTTATAGGAAACTGGAGTTGTTTTCAAGAAATGTGAATTTTTCCTTTAATGGTTTACTTATGCTTCCATTGTAAATTTTAGCACAGCCTCACACGGAGCTAAAAAAAGACTAAAATACTAAAAATGGTGGATAATAAAGTTTGAAGTTCAAGTTTTAGCAATAGCAATAGCACTTAGACTTATATACCGCTTCACAGTGCTTTACAGCACTCTCTAAATGGTTTACAATGTCAGCATATTGTCCCCAACAACCTGGTTCTCTTTTTACTGATCTTGGAAGGCTGGAGGGCTGAGTCAGTTTTAACTCTAGATTCCAAAAATATGAACCTAATCCAAATTTGCAAGGCTTCTCTCCAAGATGCCCCAGGACAAATGAAACAGTTCTCTAAAAAGAACGAGCAGGCACCACTTTAAATTCCTGCTCGGAAATGAGGGTTTTTAGCCACCAATTTTAACTATATAAGCTCATCTTTCTTCAATCTGGCGCCCTCAAAATTCCCAGGGGGGCACAGGAAGCCTATGAATAGGGATAATGCTAGATCCACTAAGTCCATGATGGTGAACCTGTGGCAAGTGTGCCAGAAGTGGCACGCAGAACCACTTCTGCCAGCACCCATGATGCAGTGCATGTGCAGGGGGGGCAGGGGGAGTGCACATGCATTGCATCACGGGTGCAGGCACGCGAGGGAGCACTTTTGGCATGCAACATGGAAAAGGTTAGCCATCGATGCACTAAGTCCTCACTATGGTGTTCCCTTCCCGTGTGCTGCACCTGAAAGACATCAACAAGTAGGATCGTCTGGTTTCAGAGGTGTCAGCCCCTTCTTCCTTTTGCTACTCAGTGGATGCTAGACGCTTCTGCTCACTTTCTCAGAAACCCGTGGCAGGTTGTTCATTGCAAGGCATAGCCTAATCCAAGTTACGATTAAATTGGGAAGTAGAGCAGATGAGAGTAGATAAGCCTGAGATTCATACCCATAATGAGATACTCTGGTTCAGGATACACCTGAATACCCACCCGAAGGATGGGATGGAATAAAGAAGCCATTTTCCTTATATCTTACTTTGTTAACCAAAGTAAATTCAGCCCAGAGCCCATTGGCAAAATCTCACGCCTATGGGCTCTTCTTTTCTAAACAGAGCCAATTGGCAACAGCCCATGGAAATGCATTGCAAAGTCTGATAATAAATTTAAATTTACTAGCTGGAGCAGTGGGGTTGTGCAGTGAGCCAGAACAGTCGTGGTTGATTGATTGGCGTGTGGGCTCCTGCATGAGGCAATCTGTGCTGTGATTGGTTGCTCTGGGTGTGGAGGGGGCGTTCCCCTTTTCCCTGCCTTTTTTCTCCTGTGTGCTCTGTGATTCACCTCACGACGCTCCTGTTTGCCCGACTAGCTTGTTGGCTGTAAATATAGGTGTAAAACGTATTTTATATAAAACTCCAAGTTTGTGTCAGCGTCTCTGGCTTCATTTGGACCCTTGGATTCCCTGACAGCGTCTCTTACCTCTGATTACACAGCTGACACGCAAAACAGTCCAAGTGGTAAACGTTGTCCTTGGCTCTCATCACCATCTCAAACGCGGGGATAAGCTTGCTACAGGCCGCGCAGTTTCCAGTCACACCAAATAACCTGCCAATGGTGGGGACAGAGAAAGAAAGAAAGGTTGGCTCAGCAAATAAAGAAGGCGCCCAAAGAATAAATCAGAATAGAGCTAGATGGGACCTTCGAGGTCTTCTAGTCCAACCCCCTGCTCAAGCAGGAGACCCTGCACCGTTTCAGACAGGTCCAGTCTTTTCTTAAAAATCTCCAGTGATGAGATTCCGAAGGCAAAGACGTCCCACTGGTTAATTGTTTGCAAATAAATCATCTACCATCCTAACATAATGTTTACCACTTGTCTCTAGAAGAACTGTTATTAATCTGAAGTGCATTAAAGTCTGACCCCTTCAAGATGGGAGGGGGGGAAAGAAAGTAAAAAAAAAAAGTCACATTAGTGAGCAGTACACACGCAGCCATCGGTTTGAAAATGCAGCACGAAAAAGGCTGAAGATTTGAAGACAGCCATGGGACCGCGTTGCAAAAAACTGTGGCCTTGGTGCTGTTTATTTATAATATGCATGCACTTGAGCATAAGAAGAAATAATACTTTGGGCCTGGTGGGGAGAAGCGAGTCTCCCAGTCATTTTTGACACCTAGTGCTAAAAGCTTTACTATTATTAGAGAACGGTTTATGAAGAAGTCATTTAAAGTGTCAGAAAGCATTAGTGGTTCATGTACCTTCCAACCCTAAGAAATGCTTATAGCTATGATTATGTTATAGAAGGAGCCTATTAAAGTAAATGAGGCAGTCAACTATATACAGCCGCATTAGAAATGCCAGTATATTATACTGCGGGAGCAATTTTAAAACTCTATTGAAATGTTTTAACTTTAAGCTCTGCCATGCTACTCTTTGTTCCAAGACATTGAAAGGAGAAGAATGGACATCACCTTGCTAGTTATTTGTTTGTATTTACTTTTCAATGTTTGAACCGCCCATCTCCCTTAGATGTTACTTCTCCAGGAAACCCCAACGATGTGATTCTGTCAGTGGGGCAGGTGACCCTAGGCTGATATGGAAGCACTCACATGGCTAGAAGTGTGACTGTTATCTTTTGCCATCATGGGGTGATAATGGTTTTTTGTGGGTTTATCTTGTGGATCTTTAATGCTGTATGTGAGTTGAGCAGCCATATAAATTTAATATATGAACAGATAATTAATAAAAGACACCTTAAACCGACTCCTATCTTTATCACCTAAGGGTCCCAAATGGACCACCCTTAACCATAAGACTTTGATTCACGCATCACCAAGATAATACAGTAGCCAGAAAACAGATTATAATAAAGCTCATTAAAATAATAGCACTCCATGGGCCAAACGTCTGTTAAAAATAGATTTTAGGGCTTGCTTGCTTACTTACTTTTTCCTGTTTTTATTATTTTTGTAAATAACTCAAGGCAGCAAACATCTCCAACACACCTTCCTGCTCCTATTTTCCTCACAACAACCCTGTGAGGTGAATTGGGCTGAGACAGAGTGACTGGCCCAAGGACAACAAGCCGGCTTCCATGCTTAAGGCGAGGCTAGAACTCATTGTTTCCTAGCGATTGGTACAAAGTCACCCAGTTGGCTATCATGCCTAAGGCAGGACTAGAACACACCATCTCTTGCTAATTGGTCCAATGTCATGCAGCTAGCTTTCACGGCTAAGGTAGGACTAGAACTCACCGTCTCCCACTTTCTAGCCTGGTACCTTAACCACCAGACCAAACTGGCCTGCTTCCATGAGAAGATTGCTGGAGCCAATGTTTCTTCCAAGGACAAAGTATTGTCTTATTAAAAGGACAATATTAAAAGGATGTCTTGGTAGCTTGTCCAGTTCTGTGTACCTCACACAGAGGAGACATGAACAGCCCCCCCTCCAGATGATTGGACTAGACCGAATAAGCAAACTCATGCTTGGCAAGTTTTTCCTTAAGTCATGCTGGATGGCTTTATAGGTACGTAACTCATCCTTTGAACTGAAACTGGAAACTTGAGATAGCCAGTGCAGGATGGGTGTTATTCTACAATAGCAAATTTCCCCAGCTAGTAGCCTACCCAACCATCCTAGTCTTTTTAACCTGATTTATTTATTTTTTACTTGTAAGGCTTAACTCTGTTTTTTAAGCTTTGCTTTTATTCATGCATTTATACGATTTGATTACGGCATTGTAAAGACAGGTGAGGTAGTAATTTAATAAATAACAGTAAGTAAAAATTATACACTACCCATGCAGCTACTAAGTCCACTTCACTAGCAACCCCACACTGTGTACGTGGGCAGTGTAATTATCATCACAGAAGTATTCAGCCTTACATGTTTCTATCAAGCCTAGCAAGTTAGCCTAGAGGGGAGGTGTGAGGTCAAACAGACAGACAAGCTATCCGATGGAAATAACTCCCTCTCCAACACAGAGTAAGAAAAATGCACATTCCTTCAATATTCATTTATCTCTGAAGCAGGGAAGGAGGAGGAAAAACAAAACTAGATTTAAGAGAGTGATGAGAAAGCAGATTGATGGAGATATGTTGCTGCTAGTGTTGTGTTGTCTGGGGATATGTTTGACAATAAAGGTACAGAACAGAACAACAGAGTTGGAAGGACCTTGGAGGTCTTCTAGTCCAACCCTCTGCCCTATATTACTTTAGTCAAATGATTATACAGTCTTTTCTTAAAAGCTCCCAGTGATGAAGCATCCACAACTTCTGAAGTCAAGCCGTTCCACTGGTTAATTGTTTTCACTGTCAAGAAATTTCTCCTTAGCTCTAGGTTGCTTCCTTCCTTGATTAGTTTCCATCCATTGCTTCTTGTCTTGTCTTCAGATGCTTGGAAAAATCTTCTTTGTGGCAGCTCCTCAAATATTTGAAACACTGCTATCATGTCACCCCAGTCTTTCTTTTCACTTTTACCCAATTCCTGCAACCATTTTTCATGTTTTAACTTCCAGGCCCTTAACTGTCTTTGTTGTTCTTCTCTGCACTATTTCCAGAGTCTCAACATTTTTAAATATGTTTTTTAATAAACTGGATGCAGTAGACCAAGTGTGGTATTACTAAGGCATTATAAAGCAGTGGTAAGATCATTGGGTGATTAGGACTCTGTTAACCATTTGCAAAACAGATATGTTTGTATACCAATAAGTTAAGCCACCTAGACACTTGAATGCATTGTTCAAAACTGTACCACGGTTGTTTTCCCCCAAAATGGATATTACAAGAAATAAACTAGCTCTCCACACATGTAGGAAGAATGGTTATTTTGGAATGCTACATTATAAATTTTGGGTTTGGGCTTAACTCATGGCCCATGTTTGTTATCGGGGCAAATGTGAAGCTACTTAATATATCTAAATAGCCTTTTTTTTTTTAAAAAGGAACTGCTATTCTTTGTGCACAACCTGCTAATGCCATTTGCAAGTATGATAGAAAATAGATGAAAATGCCACAGCCGCCCCTTTGCTTTTTTTGCTCTTCAACATCAGGCTGACAGCAGAAAAATATAATGGCTCTCCAGGGAAATACCAAATTAAAAACAGTTTTAAGGTAATGAATTCAAAGGTGCTACACGAGGAATCTCGGGACTGACAACACAGACAATGAATATGAAACCTGTTTTGTAAATCTGCACCACCCAGGCCGAATTCAATAGGTTCTGATTCAGTAAGAATTCCTCGCTATGCACAATTTGAATAACATCCCAGCATATACCCACAGATCCCCCTTCCCCACACACATATCTACACAAAACACACAAACAATTCTTACTACATGCGACTCACACCTAGCTACATTGGGCTGCAACTCCAGGAAGCATGGCCAAATCCTATTATTTTGAGAATTGTAGAAATTGATGCCCAGAATGAAGGAAAGCATCATTTGAAAGGTTGGTTTTAGTCATTTTTTTATGTCCTGATCTATCCTTCCTTCCATGAAACTGATGATGTTACCTAATTTGGCAATGAAATGTTTGCAAGAAAACCAAAATGCTCAGACAGCACCAAGGACCTTCCAGTTCAACCCTGGACCTATAAATATTCTCTTCTTTAAATGTCAGTCTGTACAATAAACTTTTAGCATGACTTTGTTCTGCTTCAACAATTGCTATCCAGCCTGACTTGAACATTGTGATGTCTCATAATCCTAAGTCTGACAGCATTACACAAATCAGCCTGGACTGAGGGAAATTTGTTACCAATAGCCCTGAGACACATGAAACAGGCCCTCAATGAAGCCAGGAGGTATTGTATTGTATTGCTCCGTGCCATCATAGGCATTATTCTTCGTTGGAACTTACTAAACAGATGGTTAATTATTGTTGATTCCTTACTCTGAGTACTTTAATTGGGCAACCAAATGGATTCAGTGACCCAAATTCTCACTTTCAACAGTCGGTTTGTACACACATCTGGGCTAAACTGAATGACTTGTAATACATCAGCACTTCAATATTGAAATGACTGAACTGGAAACTGTAGATACAATTCTTCTTTTTATTTTAATCTAATGTTAAGATAAACTGTCTATTACACAGGTAGAAATCCAGATGCTCCATTTGGTGATGACCAAGGGATTGTCTAGTCCAGGTCATAATATGAAACGAGGCCTTCTCGGTGGCTGCACCAACATTGTGAAATGGCTCCACCAGGCTCTTTCCAGCTTTATTTTTCTGGTTCATGGTTAAAAAAAGAACAAACCTCAGTAGCCTAAACTTTTGGAATTAAATGGTTATCAGCAGGGTGTGTGTCAATTTGGTTATTTTATTTATTAAGCAAATTTATATGGCTACCCATCTCCTGCAAAGTAACTCTGGGTGGCGTACAACACAATCAATTTTCTCAAAATAGTGAAAGTGACTAAGTGATTGAATCCTGCTCCTTTTTAACGGGTGTATGATACATGTTAAAAGGGGTGGGTGGGTGGATTCTGATTGCCCAGTAGGATCCTCTATTTTGGTGGTGTTAGCCCCTCCTATAGGCACCCCTGTGTGAGAAGCTGAGCTCCTGTTACAATTCTGCCTTTGTTGGCTTGTAAAATGTGCTTTA